GGAAAGTCTCTTTCTTAAACGAGCCCATTTCAAGCGTTAGTGTCTTAGGACATGCGTGAAAATGTCTCATGCAGGACGCTTCGTTTGATTTTCATTGTTTTTGTCCAAATTCATTCTTTATTTTATGAGTACTGTTTCTCTTGCCTTGAGTTCCTCATTTTGAGGAGGAAAGTTTTCTAAGAAGTTGATTTTTATCTTGTGGTTTTTCTTTTTTCCTTCAATTTATTTCCCTTAATGATGATTGCATTTAAATTTTCTGCAGATTGCTTTACTCTCAAGCACTGTGCTTCTCAAGAATGTTTTAGCTGGAGTGTGTAAATGAAGTAGAGTATTCAATAATTTATAAAAAGAAGGCATCTGTGCTTGTTATGTTGTGTTAAAACTGCCATGGGGTGGCTATACTGTTGTTTCCCTGATGTTTTTTTGTTTGAAAAGAAGCCTTTGTAACTAATGATTGGGAGCATTTTAGTTCTTGCAGCTTTATTACCCGTTTGGTATCATTTTTGTCTTTTTCTTTCTTTGTCCACACTTTAGTGTTTGATGAAAGGTCGAATGGAGGGTCTCCCCTTCTGCGCCCTTTGCTCCCTGCCATGAGCCCTCCAGAGAGCATGGTTTCTTATGAAGATGATTTTGCCTCGTCGCAGGGAAGTGGCACTTTAACAGACAAAAAGATTGCACGTGACCTCAGGTAACTGTGTGTGAGACTTCCTTTAAAAATAAAATGAGGAATTTGACAGAAAACAGTTAATGCAAAATTTGTTTCGTGGTATGCTGGATATCTTTTCTGTTATGCTGTGTTGTAATACTAGTCAAAGTGATGAGGACCTTGCAGTTAATATAGCAACCAGCATGGTTAAGATGTAAAGATTAAAGTATTCCTGTTCTCGGTCTAATTTTTATTCGTTAGTGTTTAGACAAGGTTTATAGTGAGGTCAAAATTAGTTCTCCAGCTTGTGTGACTGCTATAATGCTCAGTTGGTTAGTCTTTGTAATTTAGAAAAAGGAAATTTGAAAGTGTTAAAATACCTTCAGTAATTCAAAATTTTTTAAAAAGCCTGTAATTGCTTTCAGTAAGGGTTCAGTAATGCTTAGTAATGGATACATAAATTGGTTGTAAGAACTTATAAAACCTTTTGTTCAGACTAAAATTTGAAGCCTGTAAATACTAGACTCTCCATGTTACTACTGAATTCATGTGGCTTCCTGAATTTCCTAAGACCTCTTTTTTTCTAAGGAAATGTATTTACATCTTTTGGGCACCCTGAGGGAGGCCACAAGTATTGTGTTTTATACTGGTGATACCAGTAGGTAAGAAAGGAAGGAAGGTAGGGTAGAAAGGAAGGTAAAAGGCCCTTGCACACTGAAAATGTTGGCTGCAAAAAATACTTTCTTCCCGATTAAACTTCTTGCTAGGTCTTCTGTTGGTATTATTTAGAATATGATGCATTGTCCCCTTTATTAGCAAATCTTTTGTAATCCTTTATTGAAAATCACTCATATTCCTGTCTGATATCTGCACGCTCGGAGATTATCTAAAATGCAGTCGTATTTGGGGTCATTTTTACATTGTTGAAGTCTGTAGTCAGTTAGCTCTTAGGAGTTAGCATTGGAAAGGATGGTTGTTACCCATCTTTTACTGTTTCATATTATTGGAAGCATATTTCAATATGTTCAATATAATGTCAGGCTTCCTACTGTTTTAGCTATCGTAGTTTTTAGTCTCAGTGCTTTTCAAGAGCTAATTAGTGCAGTTTTAGCCATCTGTCTCTAAAGTGTGGTGGATTTCTTGTGCACAGTGTAATGTGGGAGTTAGAAGCCCTTACTTAATCACTGTCAATGTGCTCCTTTTTAGTGTTGCTGGCAGCAGTAATTCTAGCATTCAGGAAGAGTTTCCTAGTAGAAAGTCTCCCCATGAACCTCGATCTGTAGAGCTTGCTTCTCAGCATTCATCTGGACCACGGTCTGCAGCATCTTCTCACTCATCTGCTTCCTCTAAAAAGAGAGGGAAAAAGGAACGTAAGTGCAGTACTGATGGCTAATGTATTCATACTTAGAATACCAAACATAAACTTTTTGCAATGTTGCTACTTAGGGTTGGACTCTTTCGATGGAAATTCACACCACTTTCCTGTGGAAGAAGATAAAATGCTATCTGAATTGGAGTGGGGATCCCAACAGACAAAGAAGTCCTTATCAAGTAGCAGAATTACTAGTAAAGATCATGAGCAGAACCCAGATACAGACAGCACATTAGAAAACTTGTCTGGACACTCCCTAATGAGGTAACATGAACCTTATACAAGACTGTATGCAAATATAACTAAGCTTGGAAGTGTTATGGCATGTTGTAAAAAAAAGGCTGCGTCTTTTTTTGGTAAAGGAAAGTAACAGAAATGATCAAATGTTGGTAAGATGGGCATGCAGGAAAACAGGTTTTTCCCCTGTATTTTAAATATGAAAGCCCAAAGTAGATGGCTGTAGTAAGAGAAAATACGAAACAGTGGTTCCTCCCCAAATGACCCCTCTGTTTTTGTAGGTATAATTGGCCAATAATAGTATCCTGTCAGGTTTAGTACCTTAAGAATTGAAATACAATTTTCATTTTTCCACTTCTACAAATGGACTGTAAGAAGTGGGGGGGGGCTAAAAACAGCTAGTCAACCTGTGCAGGCACCTTCCTCTTTTCAGTAGGATCCACAGACATTTTTGGCTAGACTTGCGTTTGGCTAGAACTCATAAGCCTATCCAGCTCTGTGAATTGATACTTAGATGAGAGTGTAGAAAAAGAGGAAAAAATTTTAACTATTAACTATTTAACAACTAATTTTCTGTTGCATCCTCTGCCTGTCTAGCTATGAATGCAGTTTTTCTGCTAATTGTGCAATGAAGATGGTTATGAAATAGCTCAGTTTTCACTGCACTTTTTTTTCTAAAAAGCAACAAATGATACGAATGGTCTCTCATTCTGTGTGGGTATAGAGTGGTTCTGAGGTATTGACTTACATTGGTGATGCTCACTGATAACCAGTATTGGGTTTGAAAGTTCCTATGCCAAGTAAAGCAGAACATCTTCTTAAGGGATTTAAGCAGCCACTGTTAATCCTCTTTGACTTAATAAAATTGGAAGAGTGAATTTAAGAAGTGTCTGCACAGTTTTCTGTATGTTTGGAAAGCAATGTCTTCAACTCTCTCTTAAGAAGAAATGTTTCTGTAGTATTTTACTCTTTAAGTCAACATTTGGCCTTGAAGCATTTAATTGTATTTTGATGAAAGATGGAGACTCAGGGCAGTGGCTTATCACGTTCAGATGTATCCATATGCTGATATTAACCTATTTACTTCTTAGAAATACTGTTCATTGTATTCTGATATCAAAATACTGCCCTAATTTCCTGGGAGTAAAACAAACTTCTTCACTCAGACTCTCAAAACAGATGTGTAAATGCAGATGAGTGCATCCTGCAATGCCAAGCTCCTAACAGGAGGCATTGAAACTGCTTGTCTGGCCATGTAGAACAAGTAGATATTATGTTAAATTTTTTTTAAAAATATTTTTGTGTATGTGTGTGCCAGCTAGGTTTAATACTTGCAGGGGAGGGGTGGGGGGAGGGGGGAAATAGGGTGCTCTGGAAACCTAACCCTGAACTGGAATATGGGTACAAAACCCATCTCATGAGGCCATTCCCTAAAGACAGACTGGGCCTGTGCAAACTGTAAAAGACTGAGCCTTCTGCGTGGATCTGTTTGGTGTATATAAATGGAAGAACTATGTTATCACTTCATTGTCTTATCAAATGGCTGCACTTAGGAGAATGCTGACTTGTCGTTTTTTCATTTCGCTGTCAGTTTCTCAGACAAGGGAAGATCCCAGAAGACGCCGACTTCTTCCCCATCTTCCGGTTCCCAAAAACTGTTGCAGTTTGATTCTGTAGGCAATACAGCAGAAAGAGTCAAGTCACCTGCTGGCTTTTCTGGAAGTACAGTGACAGGGCTGAAGCCTAGCGTAGCCTTCCCTGACTTGAGTCTGGGAACTAGTAGGTCTGTAGCAGGAGCAGCCTCAGCAAGTGGTGAGTTGTTTTGTTAAAACTATACTAATCCCAGAGCAGTTTATATCTTTATTTTTTGATGTGGGCACTGAAGTCTGTGGAGGCTGACTAGTAAGTCTTATCCTGCAGGGTGTATGCGCTTCTCCCCTGCTGCTCTTCAGCATCGTTTGTCAGCAGAATTGAACTACCTTAGTGCTATTGAGGAGTCTGTGCGACAGCTTTCAGATGTAGAACGAGTACGAGGCATATCACTTGCCCAGCAGGAGAGCGTTTCTTTGGCTCAGATTCTAAAGGTAATGGAAAAATACTTCCTTGTCTTAACGTTCCTTTTATTTTTTGCATTGCAAGAAAATTAATCAAATTAGGATAAGTTATGCTTTTGTTAGCAATGCAGAGAAACCGTAATGGGCCTGATGGAGCACCTCTGATAATGTCCATTTTTTAGAATTCATTTCTGTTATCTTTCTTATTTTAAGTTGACACCAAGGAACTGGTGACTCTAGAATATGTTCATTAATATAGCGTTAGCTGCAATCACTGCTTTGGTTGTGTACTTCAGTAAAATAAAAAATTGATTATTTACTGGGTTTGATGTTGGGTCCCAGTGCCGTGCAGTGTAGTTGTACAGGCTGGACCATTTGTGTTATTCCATGAAAAGGACCATTTGTCTTATTCCATGAAAAGGATATTTTTGATTGAAATTTCCTTATGTTGACAAGATTGCTTGTTCTAGTTTGTTGAATTAATTAGTCTCCTAAATCCTCTTTCTTTCTACACTGTGGTGAAAGAATATGGGGAATGTGTGTTATCTGTCTACTTAAAAAGGGAGAGAGTCAGTCAGGCTGAAAATTTTACTTTAGCAGAAAAGTTACCGCCAGTAGAGTAGAAGTAGATCTTTCAGAGGTAGTTGCAGACAGTGGCTAAGGCAAAACAGGTCTTTATGTTTAACTTGCATAATTAAAACTTGTTTTCCTGATCTGTAGGCACAGCAGCAGCGGCATGAACGGGACTTGGCTCTTTTGAAAATCAAGGCTGAACAAGAAGCTTTAGAAAGTCAGAGACAACTGGACGAGGCAAGGCAGAAGGCAGCTCAGGTAATGCTGCCCTTCAAAAAATGTGGAGTGTGTAAGAGGCAAAATGCTGTAAGTAAATCCGTGCCTACGAGTATTCTTAATTTGAAGCTGTGAACATATGGAAGTGGGGAAGGAGTCTGATATAACTGAAAAAAGCTCTTAGGGGGCAATTTCAAACTTCTTTCCCTCAGATTTTGAGAAATAAAACTGTAGTAGTTATAGCCAGAAAATTTTGAAGAGCTGAACTGGGTGTGTTTTGTACACAGGTCCATGCAGAGTCACTGCAGCATCTGGTCCAGTCACGGCAGGAGGCTCTACAAGAGACCCCATGCAAGGCTGCAGCCAAGCAGGCAGAAACTGCACTTCTGACTACAGATGCAGCTCACCAGATCCGTGAGGTGAGGTCCAGAGTAAAAGGAAAAAGCTATTCTAATTTTAGTATTATTCTGAATATTTTTTTTTTGCCTCTAGGTTATTCTGTTTAGTGTCATTCTCAGTGCAGCTTCTTCACCTTCATAAAGTGACAAATGACAGGACTTTAAAGGAGCTTTTCTGGCATCGTTATTTGGAAGTCAGTTGGCATCCTTAAATCCCTGTTCGCTTTTCTTATGATCTTCCAGTTAACAAACTGTTAAGAAGTTCTTGTATTTCCAGGACAGATTGATGATAGTGAACACAACATCTTTAATTTGTTAGTTATACTCCATCAGGAATTGATCCTGTATCTGTTTCATGGCAAATTATATTAGAAAAGCAGGGAAATTGCAATTTTGCTTATTTTTGAAGGTAGGAGACAACAAATAAAATAATTAAAAAAAAGGAGGGAGGAGGGTCTTCAGCAGAGCCTTTAACTTGATACAGGGTTTGAAGTTTTCTTTTTCTGAGTCTCTTTTCATTCTTGTGGTGACCAGAATTTTTATCAGTTTTTATACGTGTTGTTCCCAACATGTAGCAGCTGTTTCCCACACATAGGTAGGAAACACAGTAACCATGAAATGCTTTTGCTGCTTCATAGTTTAGCAAACACAGCGACTGTGGATTGGGGTTATGGGATGGAGTGCAGAAGGCTGATGAGTATGGATGTAACTGTTTCTTCACAGCTTATGCACATGTTGGTGCTCAGCAAGGCTGTCTTTATGATGGGTAATGGGACTGTGGACTAATACTGATGTACTTGTTCTGGGCTTTGCCAAATACGTGAAGTTTAAATAATTTTTGAATAGACAGGAGTGGGTTAGGTGAAAGGAGCAGAAAAGCTCAGGCATCTCAAATGCTTGCAGTGGTTGTTGATAGTAGGTAGTGAAGTCTTGAATAAAGACAAAGAAACGTTTGTAGTTTATAGAGCTAAAGTGGGTGGAAACCAGTTAAGAAACAAGGAAGAAGAAACAGGAGACATTTTATTTGGTGTAGGGTTTTAATCTCTTGTCTTGCTTTAAGTTTGAGGTTTGAGAGTAAGAGGTGCTAGTGGAGAGGTTGATGGGGACGACCTGGTCAGTGATGACGGGCTAGCAGAGTAGCTTTTCCATCCATGTTCACAAGTGACTCCTGATACTCAGTTGAGCAACCATTTATTTTAAGTGGAATGCAGCAATGGAAATGCCAGTCACCAATGTGCTGGGTATATTTTTGGATGTACACTATAATTTCTTATGTGTAGAGGAATGGAGTTAATTTTCTGCATTGCTTTCAATTACAAGTTTGTCTTATGCAAAAGAGAGAATGCAGCATGCTACTATACAAAAGTTTGCTTAGAGTTGGCTGTCATACTAATGAAGGATGAAACAGTGGGTGATGTATACAGACAATCCAATTAAAAAAAATCTTTCACTTATTTCTATAAAATTTGTTTACATTAATTGAAGAATTAACAAAGAAACTCAATATGTGTATTTTAAGTTACTGAAATACAGCTTATTCCTGCCCTGCTCTGCAAGAGGCAGACCTTTAAATAAGAAGAAAAATGGTAAATTCTAAAGCTTCTAAAAACCAGTGTTACCTGCTCTGATTTCTGAAGAAGTTCTTATTTCTAGTGAGGTACACAGTGACTGCCATACATTAAAAAGGTTAATTTGTGGCTATCTGTTGATTTAATGCTGCTAATTTTAGACCTGTTAGTTTGCATGATATTGGAACTTAAACCTGTTGCTTCTGTTGGAGTGAAAAGAATATTTCTTGCTCTTTGGGCAAGATGCACTTTCAAATGAAAAATTAAACATTGTTTCTGGTGTTTTGGGGGGGGTTGTTTTGTTTTTTAAAAAATAATTCTAATGGTAAGTCTGGAATGTTTTATTATGTCGGGATCATTTTACTGATCAGAGTTTGGTTAAGCTGATTCGAATGATATGATAAGTAGTATCTTGCTTGTCTGTAGTTTCAGATCGATAATTCCACTCTGTATAAATTAAAGAGTATGTATTTATGGAGCAGTATGCACCTCCTACAAGCAAAATTGACACCTATGTAATTACAAACGATCTCAAAACTCTGTCTTACATATTTGTTCAATAAATCAGTGAATTGCCTGTGAGAATGGCTATTTTCTCTTTCAAAAACATTTTGATGCGAAGTGCACTGTATTCCTTTGTTTTTTATCGTACTCAGATGGCGGAGTTAGCACAAACACAGATGTCGGATACTGTCAGCACTCCAGCTGCTCCAGTCACCACCTTGTTTGACCACCAGCGGCAGCATCATTCACAGTTCATGAAACAACTGAGAGCCCGAACTGATGCAAACAGGTTTTGTCTAATATTTCACATCTTGGGAAGCGGGAAGTAAGATCTGTTAGGTTTTGCTTCACCTATTGAAGAAAATTTTAAAATGTCATAATGAGTGAGTGTTTAAGGAGAAGAATTTAGATTCTGTCTTTATGCCCTTAGTAGTGTACACCAAAGGGAACACTAACTGATTCTGTGAAGCTTTATATAAAAAGTGCAGAAAAAGATGCTCTAAGTGTTTTGTGGAATGGTTTACCTGCTCTGACCTTTAAATGATCTTTTCAGAAATTTTAGCTGTTACTACTTCCAGTAAACTGATGAAAGCTTGTGAAAACTGTATTATTCTTTGGTTTAAGACAATGCAAATTTACCCAAAACACTTCCCTTTCTCAGGAAATGTGAGTCTGTTGCCATATCACAAGGTAAAGAGGAGGCAGGTGACTCAAAACAGACATACTCACCGATGTTTGATAGTTATTCAGAGTCATCAAGATCAAAGGTTCATGATCAGAGGTAAGAAGAGTTTAGATTACATAGGTTTTTTTTTTTCTGTAAATAAGAACTAAAGGACAAAGGAGTATCAAGATAGCTCCTTCAATATATTTTTTTAAAAGAGGGAAAGTCAGTATTAAGCCTTCAACGGGTAAACCTGTCTTATATTCCAAAGCTTGAAGGTTTACATGCCTAACAGAATTTGCTTTGTCTTTAATTAAATATTATTATCATACTACACAGTGTAATAGTATGTTATGTGTTAATATCTTCAGTTTTAAATTTGCTGTATTTGTGCTAATTGGATGCTTTTCTCTTTCCTGACTTAAGAATAATTGAGTTCCACATCTGCTTTCTCATTCAGCTGAATTAACAGGAGTCTAGCAAGCAGTGGAAGGGAAATGATTATGCCTCTCTGTTCAGCTCTTTTGAGACTGTATCTGGAATACAGTGTCTAGTTTTGGCTCCCTGGTGAAGAGAAGACATTGACATACTGATGCAAGTCTAGTGGTGAACCACCAGGATGGTTAGGAGGCTGGAGTACGTGATGTAAAAGAGAGGCTGAAAGAACTGAGCTAACTTAACCTAGAAAAGAGAAGGCTAAGGGGAGAGGGATCTAGTTGCAATATCTTGAATGAGGGCTTGTTAGGTAACATAAGGCTAGACTTTTCTTGGAGGTGCATAGTGAGATGACAAGAGACAATGGTTGCAGATTGCAGAAAGGGGAAGATCATTGGTAAAAAAAAAATTCTTCTTGTGAGAGTGGTCAAACACTGGAATGGGGACATAGGGAGGTTGTCGGATGCTCTGTCCTTGCAAGTGTTCAGAACTTGAACATGGCCTTTACTTTAGTTGGATGAAATACTGTCAGAAATTGTTGAGCTGAGATTATTCTGATTTCTGTGCTGTGGCCTACTTGCATATTTCTGTTGCATCACCTTTGTAACCTAAAAGTCACTTTAAGTCTCTGTTTATTTTGAGTCTTTTTCCCCATCCTAAATATTTGCATTTTGTGCCCTTCTCATTTTGCTCTGTGTCTTTTTGAAATGGACTAGAACATAGACTGGAGCATATGTTCTGAAAATGCAGTGCAGGGACCGGTAGAACTGCCTGCTCTGCAATGTGCGTTACGTTCTCTTCTGTCGTCTGTGTATCTGGACATTTTGTTAGGGTGTTTTTTGGGTTTGTTTTCGCTGCTGCTTTGCACTGGCTTGAGAGTTTTTCCATCAGGTGCCTGGAGTGCTGCTTGCCTGAGGTTTAGATTTGACTCATTTCTGGTGTTACTTTTCAGTATCTTGCCTGTGTGTTTTACTGGATTTTGGCTTCTTGTTCACTTACCTGATCTAGTGAGGTCCCTTGAAGTTTCTCACAACCCTTTTCTGATTTTGACCAACTCGAATGATTTTGTCCTCTGTGGTTCTTCTAATTTAAAACAGTATCAGTGACTCGCTCATCCTTTTAAAAAAACTGTAAGGAGAGGTGTTTGCAATGGTTTATTGTCAGTGCTCATGGGCAGGTAGAGGGTGTGCATACCTACAAAACACTTGCATTCTAAGGTAGAATAAAAATACCAAGTTCTGCTGTCGGTCAGCAGCTTGATGAGTCTTGGAAATCTGAAGCAGCCAGGCTGCATTTTGAAAACAAAACCAAACCCTCTGCGTGTTGATTATTGCTGAGATATTATGCATGGTGTGTACAGTAGTAATGTAATATAAATATTTTGAAATGTGCAAAGTAATTGAAAAAAAAAAAATCTCTTGTTAACACAGTAGTACCAGCAGCCGCCAAGAGAGTCCTTCAGTTCCATCTTCTAAGGAGAATGAGAAAAAGCTTTCCCGTCGTGAAAAGTTAACTAGCAGTATTGAAGAGCAGGCTCATACTGGTGTGGATGATTCCTTGCCGAGTGACAGTATTTTATCACTGCCAGATGAAAAAGGTTAGCTGTGTTGTTTGTATGTGATGACTCTGAAAGTGATAAGGGGGGGAGAGAGGGAGGTGCTGTTTCAGAATTAGTTTCTGAAATAAATGAAGGAATGGGTGTGAAGAAAGCTGAGCTCCAGGTGAACTGATAGGCTCTTAAGTGGTAACAGATGATGGCACAGTGAGATGGGAACCTTTGAAATGCTGCACGTTAGAGTGATGGAGCCTGTGGGCCGTTCTACTTTCTGCTGTGCTAGCTGTAGCCAGATGTTCACTTGCTGAATGTGCAGACTGAAAGCCGAATGTTTCAGCATCCCCAGAAGTGTGTTTGTATCTGTGTACAGAAGTCTGATAGGACTTTTGGAGCTGGGTAGCACTATTTAATGATGTCTTCTAACTCAAGGTTAGTCTTTTCTAAACATCCTTTTTTCTGCATTAGAGTAGTTATCTCCCTGTCTTTCCTGCTCCGCTGACTTTACTGAGATGAGACAGAGTAAAACTGCATTCATGATACATACCTGAGCATAAAGACACTTCACTGATTTCTCCCTCAGATTCAGTTTCTGTTGCAACAGAGTATTCCCTGAAGTTTGATGAGTCCATGACAGAGGATGAGATTGAAGAAAAGTCTTTTCGGTCTCTGCTGCCCTCTGAAAGTCATCGCAGAAATAACTTGGAGAAGAAGCGGGGTAATCGTGATGATTCTGATGAGGAAGTCTCCCCAGAAAAAACAGCTCTGTCATCTATCAAGGTACGTCAAGCAACCATAGTTAAGGTAAATTAACTGAACTGAAATGGTGAAGCTGATGAGCTTCAAGTGAGCCATTCTTAGTTGTATTTGCAAACTTTAGGGTTCTTTTCCTCCCTGTGGTTTTTTGAGCATCTCAAAACATCTCAAAAATAAATCGTGCTGTATGTCACTGTTGTACAAATGCGATGACTTGACTTATGGAACACTCCATCCAGGCCTCTACCTGTTCTCTTGTGGCTTTGGAGGAGTGACTTTTTGAGGTAGGTTATAAAAGCCCAGTGGATTAAGTCTTTCTACTATGTCTACACACAGCTGGGAATTACAAGAGGATGCTTCAACTCTCTGGCCCAAGAGGGGACATCCCAAAACTGACACGCAACCCAGGGCAGAAAAAGCTGGCCTGCACAAAGCTCAGAGGAAAACCAGTGTCCCTTTTTACATCTGACTTTGCGTGTGTGTATCTGTGTATACACACACATGCTTTGTAACTTGAATAGGCTTTGGAATTTCTGTTTTATCAAATCATGCCAACTTTGTCTTGCCTTCTAGGAGCTAAGCATGCCATTCTCAGGGGGGCAAGATAGTTTCTCTAAATTTACCATGGAGATGGTAAGACAGTACATGAAAGAGGAGGAAATGCGAGCAGCTCATCAGTCCTCACTGCTTCGGCTCCGGGAGAAGGCTCTGAAAGAGAAGACCAAGGCTGAATTAGCTTGGCTGGAACACCAGAAGAAGTAAGGCAGCTCTGAATATACACTGTTGGTGACTGACCATTTTCTTGTACTACTTCTTGAATTTTTTTTTGTAAGATTTTGCTTCCACCCCTCCCTTATTAAGTATCAGTGGTTGAACTAGTCTTCTGACATCAGTGGTCTATACAAATGTTATTGTCGCTTGGAAAGAACAGAACCCAGTTTGTAAATATGCTTTGATGTTTACATTGAATGCGGTTTGATAAAAGACAATTTCATTGAAAAAGTAGAACATCAGATGTATGTTGTCAGTCAGAGAAGGTAGTTCCCAACTGTTACAAGTTTTAATTCAAGAAGGTATAAAACTGTCAAACAGTTAGACCTTTATTTGCTTGATATGAGGTCATTTTAGTTGCCTGGGGCTAAATTTTGTGAATCTGAATACCTGTTGTCTTTAATGATTTGTTTCCAACTTAACATGTGCTTTGTCCTGGAGTGCCACTTGAAGTACCTAGAGATACTATTAAGCAGCGGTTGCCAAATTTAATAAATAATACTTTTCCGTGGTCACTCTCTGCACAAGAGTGCCAATGTTCACCAAATGTTTTGTTCCACTATCTTGTAATTGTGGATTTGTCAAAGGATCATGAGACAGTGACCCAAGTGTCCTTCCTTTTGTCTTTCTCAAATGGTGAGTAGAGCTTCTGGCCATTCATGTGAGATCTCTTATTACCTCCACTGGCCTTTTAAATGTGCATGTCTGACTAAACAGTGCAAAATGTTCCACCATAGAGCATGCCAAGAAGCATACGGTCTTCTGCAGGTTAGGAAAAAACTTTTTTTTTTTCACTTTAAAGAGTAAAAGGCTCATTGTTGTGCACTCTTTTATTTAATCCTTTCTTCCAATCTATTTGCAGACATTTGCGAGACAAGGGAGAGGATGATAAGATGCCTCCTATTCGAAAGAGGCAGCGTGGTCTGTTGCTGAGATTACAGCAGGAAAAGGTAGCTGGTGCCCTCTAGGAAAATCCTGTTGAAAACCCTGTGTTAGCTGTTAAATGTTTCAGACACTGTAAAAGCTAAGACTTGAGAAAACTCTGTACCAGGGTTTTAGATAGGAAGCTAGCAGTATTTCTCACCAGTAAGTTTTATTTGCATTTCAGAAATATTTGACACATTGTTTAAAAGGGTCCTTCTCAGGACTGGTAATGGTCCTCCAACCTCACTGGTTAAGACTTAGATGTATGAATTGATTGTCTGGTTTTTGCTGCTGAAGTTCAGGCTAGTTGCTTCATCATGTAGTTTCCGTTATTTTAAGCCCATAGCATGGGCACTGTGTGGCAGCTTTAGAATGGTGTTCTTGAGAGCTGTCTCTCACAGTTCTTATGCTTAAATCTTTTATACCTAAAAGGCAGAAATTAAGCGTCTTCAAGAGGCTAACAAGGCTGCTCGGAAAGAGAGGCAACTGATCCTTAAACAGCAGGCAGAAATAGAACGAATCCGTCAGACGACAATGAAATTACAGGAAAAACTAAAGTCTGCAGGAGAAAACAAGCTGGTAAGTGTTCAGTACAAGGCTGGACCCTTCCCTTGTTGGCCACGCAACTGCGATTTGACTTCAGTGTTTATTTATAGGAATGGAAAGCTACTAGATTGGACCTATCACTTGGAAGTTTTGCCTGCTTCATACCCTTTATCTCAGCAATTTTATGTTTAATTTATTTAAAACATTGTTTAAGGAAATGCATTTGTAGAAGTTATAAAATGTTTTGTTTTAACTGCATAGTAGATGGTGTTGGTTAGTTCTCAGGCTTAATTAATGACTTTGGGAATATCAGTTTTTTGATGCTTAGATCTCTCAGGGTCTGACTTCGTTTGATTATTTGTAAAACCCCGGAGTGCCAAATGTAAGTGCTAAACCCAAAACTTGCTGCTTTGTGTGTGTGTAGTGTCATTACACTAAGTTTCTTGCATCTGCTTTATGAGATAGCAGGATGGGATTTTGGTAACTGTCTGTCTCCTTACAAAATTTTGAGAGACAAGTTTAGTAATAGTAGTATAGAAAGGATTGGTTTTCTGTTTGGGTAACTGAATTCTGGTGGTTTTTCTTTTGTTCTAGATGCAGTTAGTGGAGAACTTAAATTATGGAGAAAAAAGGTGTACTAAAAACTTTGTGTCAAATAAAAATGAAGCTGAAAAATTAAGTTAAATCTTCAGATACAGAGACTTATCTGAAGTAGTATTTGATGTAATCTGGGAAGAAGTAAGCAAAATGTAACACTTCTTAAAAATATTGTAGAATAACTGTTCTTACTTTTAACACTGCCTTTTTTTTTTTTTTTTTTTTTTACACTTAATTGCAGGAACTTCACAGCGAGGATGACATCAAGCAGAGCAATCGTTCTAGCCCGCTTCCAACTGATGCAGAAACACGCAGCCCTTCCCCAATCTCAATCTCCAGCAGTGAGACTAGTAGCATTATGCAGAAACTTAAAAAAATGCGCAGCAGAATGGATGAAAAGTAACTAATTTCCGTTTCTTATACAAAAATTTACTATATTAAGGGAACAAGTTGATTTGGCCAGTATCTGCGCTAAAAATGGCTATCGGAAAATTTGGAGGTGTTGATACTGCATACACCTTGATCTGAGTTGCCTGAAAAATAGCTGATTGGAAGCATCAATGGAACTACATTAATCTTCGAATATAGTATTTTAAGGGCTACAATTCTTGCATGAATACTGAGGTTCAAACATAGTTAGCTGGCAGACCATGTGATCAAGCTTTTATTACAGAAGATTGGTTTTAATATTCTTTGTACTTGGTAGAGTCAGTGAAAGCACATCAGTTTAAGAGATTTTGATGTTTGTACATACAAGGAACTCGGATGGGCTCCAGCTTGACAGTACATCTTGTCAGAGTTCCTCTTGCAACGAGAGACCTGAAGTTAAATGGTCAAGATGGTGCCTGTATTTTCTCCCCTTTTATTTTAAAGGGAACAAATATAGGGAGTGAGACTCTGGAATTGCAGTACCAATTTTTATCTTTAATTGAAGCATAAGTTATAAATAGTAATAGTCTTAGGCAAAAACTAGTAACTGAGTTTGAGATGTGGCTCACAGAAAGTCATTGAGCTTGTTGGGCTTGTGATTACTACCTTATTATCCAGCTGCTGAATTTTGATTTTAATTGCACTAAAATCAGCTAGGGATGAAGTCTGTAAGTATTTTCTTAATTAGTGGAGGTGGTATGTGTGTGACTGAGAAGACAGGAAGTTAATAAACCTTTCTTTTCCTCCTGTGTGGTCCACAGGTTGGAAAAAGATTGAAAACAATTGTTAGTCTTCAGAGGAAATAATGCAGTATATGTGTAGTTCCTGGGTCTGAAAACTAAGACTGAGTCTGTTGATTTCACCTGTTAAATAGTTTTGAGTCAAAAATTGTTTCTGCATTTTTTCAGTGTAGGAATTAATTTGTCTGCACTAAACATCCCAAATGCTTTCCTAGCATGCGCTCATTAGTTTGAAGCCTTAAATTCTTATTGGCGACTAATCCATTAAAAGTCTGGCCTCTGCCAGTCACCACAAGTAGTCTTCTCTTAAAAAAATATTTTTTTTTAACTTATAACCAAGGTAGGTCACTGTATTTTAGTCCATATGGATGATCTTTGTAATGTTTTTTCTCTTGAGACTCTAACACAGCTGGATAAAACACCAAAAAGCAAGCACTGCCATTTGTAAGGGCAAGCTGTGTGTGACACCTTAGCACCGTATTTCTTGTAATCATTTGAGAAGCACATTTTTTCCCCCACTTGCATGTATTTGTATATGATGAAGAGAAAAAACCAGCAGTAGTAAGTAAGGATTTGGTGTAAGTAGGAAAAAAACAAAACCAAAAACGTGTTCTAGTTACATGGTCTTCATGTGCTAGGCTTAATTGATTGCTATGTTATTCAGACTCTTGTGGTAGAATCTGGTAAACTGAACAGCTGGAATCACAAATGATTTCAAGTTTCTGAAGTGTCATATTTCCAAAACTAAACTCTTGACAATCTAAGTCGTGTGAAAACCACCCCATCATTGTAGCAGCAAGCTCTTTCTTGGAGTATGTTTTGAGGTTGGCAAATGGCTTAAGATGGGGACTTGAAAAGGATCTGCTCTGCAGGCCATGTTGACTTCTAGGGTTTCAAGAAAATAAGATTTTTCTTCTGATCCTATTTTTTTGTTAAAAAGAGGATCTTTATCTTTTTTCACCTGAGGTTCAACATACAAAATTTCAAATGGTGATACAAAACCAAGTTACAGCTTATGAATTTTGAGATACAGTAGTAATACTATAAGAGATGAGAAATACATGTTTATATTCAAGAATTCCTTTGCCACTCTTTATCAGGTAGTGGTTTTGTCAATGTTGTTTTTGAAACCTCATTTTTTCAAAGTACCTTCCTTTCTAAGCAACAGTTATGATTGCAGAAAGAATTATGTGTTTATAAATAATTGTACTTATTATTACAAGTGATAGTAGTAGATACTTTGTATGTTCTACCCTTAAAGATCAGCCCAAAATATTGCTGACCTGGAGAACACTCTTCAAAAGGTGGATAGCAGGATGGGAGTTGAAACAATTGCTTTTAGGTGGAACAAGTGGAAATTGTGTGTGATGTAATGTATGTGGTCATATATTTTTGTGTTTATGGTTTTGTCTTGGATTGCTATATATGTGCGAAGGAAGTAGTATTTTGTGTAAACATAAATTATGCTCTGGAACTTGATCTTCCTAATTGCATAGCTTTTGCACACCTTTTGCAGGCATTTTGATAGTGATAGCAGTGCTTATAGATTGGAAACTGGTACTGACTTGTTGTTTTTTTTTTTAATGTACTTACTTGTAAAACACATAGGAATAACATTAACGTAATAGAGTGAGACATTTGGTTTGGGGTGTAATCACAGGAAGCTACCATTTGAAGGGAATCAATCAGATTGTGAGCTATGGCAAAAGGAAAGAAGCTGAATGATGAGTAAAGTACAAAGGAAGTAGAGGAAGGAATTGGGAAAGCCTGCTATGCTGGATTTGCTGTACTCCGTAGCGAGGCGGAAATCCTTTGGCTTCCTTACTTATGAGGCAGCTTTAATATTTCTCTTCTGCGAAAAGGGGAATGACAGAACAGTTCTGTTTTAATTGATGAGTCTGTGTAGCCTGCATGTGAACAAGAGCATGCTCTGTCAAAGAGAACTAATCATTTTCCCCTTGCTTTCCTTGCATATGCAATTTTAATGATAATCTGTGCAATAGAAGAACTCATTAAATGCTTATTTTCTTTTGCTTTTCCTTAATATGCTTCTTAGCTTGCACTGTAGTTGATAGAGCTATATGGAGCATGGTATTTTTCTATAAATATGATAATTCATTAGGAATTAGCTTAAAATGGTAATTCATTAGGAAATACCATTTTAAGCACAGCTTTATGTAGATTTACAATAGGCTTTATCTTTCTACAGTTAGTACTTCAAATGAAAGAGGCAATACGTGAGTATTCTGAGACCAAGTCTGTGCTTTGTTGAAAAAAAAAAAAAAAAGCCCAAACCCAAAATAGCAGCTAGAAGATAAATTGCAGGAATATCTCAAACTTTTCCTGGAATTGCTCTTGTTTTAAAAATACTTTATTTAGTCTCTTTTTTTTTTTTTTTCCCTTTCACTGGTGCTTACCTTCGGAGAAGTAATTTTACTGAGGTTTCGCCAGGTGAATGCAAATGTGTTTAGAGTTTCAGACTAGCAAAGTCCTTCATATGACAAAACCAGCATGCTATTTAATGCTAATAATATACTCAATCAACAGAATAGCAGGAGTTACAAAAAGATCAGGTTGATATATGTTAACCAATGCATGTGGAAGTCTGCATCAAAGTAATAAAACTCCTTCTGAAATTTAAAGAAAAACATAGCAGTGTGAAAGTAGCTTGCCTTTAATTAACAGAAAATGAAGTGTTTTAAGTGTATGTGTTCTATTACCTTCTGCATAACAGCATAGTTTTTTCTACTTCAGATGTTGTGTAATAACTATATAATGTTAAACGCAATTAATTTTAAAGTTCTTTGCTAGATGCTATCCTTTTCTCATTCTTTCTGCCTTTTTTGCTATCTTAGTTTTAAACTCTTCCTCCTTATTTTGTAGACACTGCTCTCCTGTTCACTACTTCTTCTCTGTCTTTACGTCTCACCACTGGGCCTCTCTCAGTGTCTGTTTTCCCAACCTCCACCCCAAATTCCAGCTGTATATCTACAACCAATTGGTCAGGTAACTGCATCTTTCTCAAGTGATATGACTCTTTGATAGAGCATGCTCTGTTCAGTCCTAGAAAGTCAAGAGGTGGTTCATCAGTGAAAATTTTTGACGCTTTGCTCACTGTCTCCAGATCTTTATTAATGACATAAACAGTGGGATCGGGTGCACCCTCAGCAAATTTGCAGACAACACCAAGCTGAGTGGTGCGGTTGATTAGCTAGAGGGACAGGAGGCCATCCAGAGTGACCTGGACAGGCTTGAGGAGTGGGCCAGTGTGAACCTTATGAAGGTCAGCAAGGCCAAGTGCAAGGTCCTGCATCTGGTCCAGGCAGGGATGAATGGATTGGGAGCAGCCATGCAGAGAAGGACTTGGGGATGCTGGTGGACAAAAATTGGATATGAGCTGGCAACGTGCACTTGCAGCCCAGAAAGCCAAACATATCCTGAGTTCCATAAAAAGCAAGTGGAGGGAGGTGATGCTCCTCCTCTACTCTGGTGAGACCCCACCTGGAGTACTGTGTCCAGTTCTGGGGTCCCCAGTATAAGAACGACATGGACTTGTTGGAGCAGGTCCAGAGGAGGCCACAAAAATGATCAGAGGGAACACCTCTCCTGTGAGGACAGGCTGAGAAGATTGGTATTGTTCAGCCTAGAGAAGAGAAGGCTCCAGGGAGACATTATTTAAGGCTTTTCAATACACAAGCAGGTCTACAAGAAAAATGGAGAGAGACTTTTTGCTAGGGCCTGTAGTGATAGGACAAGGGGTAAAAAGTTTTAAAGTAAAAGAGGGTAGCTCTAGATTAAATATAAGGAAGAAAATTTTTATTATTATTATGAGGGTGGTGAGACACTGGAACAGGTTGCCCAGAGAAGTTGTGGATACCCCACAGTATAGTAGTGTTCGAGGTCAGGCTGGATGGGGCTTCGAACAATGTGACCTAGTAAAAGGTGTCCTAGCCCATGTCAGGGGGGTTGGACTAGATAATCTTCAAGGTCCCTTCCAACCCAAGCCATTCTGTGATTCTAATCTTGTTCCTACAGGGTTCCGAGTAGCAGGCAGACAGTTCACTTTGCTCCCGCTGTCTGGTCACTACTTCAGAATAGATGCTGAAACTGTCTGGTTTGGGCTTAAAGTCAGTATGCCTTGGTCACAAATGTACAAGTACAGGTTAGAGCAGTGGGTTAGTGCTTCTGGGTTAGTATCTGGAATGCACAGATAAAATGTGTGATGTTAGCACCAGAGAAATAGTTAGTCTTTGAAATCAGGTGTAGTCTGTGCTGCTTCCTCTTTGCTCCCTGAGATTTCCAGCTTCGTAGATGCCAGATGTCATTTTACTTTTTTTTTTTTTTTCTGTGAAGGTGCCCCTGCTTTTGAGGATAAACACGTACCCTTGGTGTTGCAACTGGAACCCTCTAGATTGTAGTAAATATTAAGGCAGCGTGTATGCTATCTTGTGGCTCTGACCTTTTAAACCCCAGGCTTATAAAAGTGTCTGCATCTTTAGCCATGCTGCTTTAATCCTCCTCTTCCTATAGGTTGAATATTGGAACCCTCTTTCTCTCCCGTCACTTCTTCTGACATAATCTTTCTTATTAAGTAGTCTTCATGTGGTGATTAATTTAATGGTCATTTAGTTACTTTTTCTCCTGTTTGTGGTCTTCTGGGTTAATTCATTTGACATCTGCTTTTGAGGAGTGCTGCTCTTTGAAATCAGTTTATTTCAGCCTTTCTCTTGCATTTTATTTTGAACTGGACTTGCCTCCCTCAAGATCCAATAAACTGTGAAGATCCAGACATTCTGATGAAATCAAACAGTGGGTGAAGGAAGAAGAAAAAGTTGCCTTTTGCATTGAGGTCATTGTAATAATGACCTCTATAATGAGTTCCAAATACACGACCTGCTAAAATATAATCGGAACTGATATGTGTCTGAAAGTAAGAGTTGATAAATCTGATCGTGCTGGTGAAAGATATAACATAAGCATGACTGTCTGTGTCATGTTTGTAATGCAATTATGGTTGGTAGTCTAGTTTCTTAATTATATTAATCTGTCAGTTTTGCCTAAGAATGGTGATGTTTGATGTTCATCTATAGAAGGTGATAAAGTAGTGCACAAAGTCATGGAATCTGTCAGCTTGAAGGTGGCAGATGTTCCAGAGACTCGGAGGTGCTTCTGTTTTTCCTCTGCTCTTGTTTTGACCATAGGAAAGAAGACTGTGGGGGTGTCTTACTGACTTTTGAACCTTCTATCTTCATATCGTAATTTGTCCACCTTATCTGAATCTGTCTTAGAAGGACTTATCTGAATCTTAACCTTTCTGATCAACTGCCAGCTCACTCTTCCAGGGGTCAGAATGAATGCTAAGTGAGCAAAATGTCCCTTAGGAGGCGAGACCTGCAGATTAGCCAGTTGGTCATTCCAGTCCCTGTAAATAAAAGGGGGGTTTGAAACATGAGAGATTAAAAAGCACAAATGAAATTATTATCTGCTTTGCAGCTTAAAAACTTTGATGCTGTTTGGCTTGAAAAATACAAATTATAAAGGCATTTGCAAAGCAAATATCACAAGTCTTTGAAGAATGCCCTTTAGGTACCACACCTTTTGTACCAATGACAAACTCTCACTCTAGCTGGCAAACCATATATTTTCTACAGAGTGATTCTGTGACATCTTAAAAATTTCAGTGTAGGAGTTGAATGAATTGATACACACTCTTCTCTGGACTTGGTGTGTCAGAGGAAGTGTGTGCAACTGATGTTGAACTTGCTTTCATTTACTAACTTAAAGGTTAAATGCTATGGTCTTGGTTACTTCAATATTTAGAAATAAGACCAGAGATGCTGTTTTCAAGAGCTGTCAAAGAGAACTAGTTTGTGCACACAAACCTGTTCATACATACAAAGTTCTATAAAAATTTCCTCATTTCTGATGTTTTGTGGATCACCTAGGAAATCTTTGTCAGAAAGAAAATATCTGCTAATTTTCAAGCATGAGCTTTACTTTTTACCTATTCTTGAACTAGCAGCCAGATGTGTAAGCTGGGAAAAAACAGTCCTACACCCTTATTCTCTTGATGTTGTCAGCTCATGATTAACGTTACGAGTGTGGCGATCCATAGAGTTGATGCTTAAAGAGAAGAGGATGAAAGCTCCAGGAATTCAGAACTATTAATACAGACTCACCTTCTCTTATAATTACGTATTTGGAAAGAACTGTGGGGTTACAATTTTTCTGTCATTGGGATTAGCAAGAAGGGTTCATTTCTCAAACAGTCACTGCTTTCTTGAGGGTTCCGGTTCGACACCACAGGTACTTTTCATGTCCTGAAATTGGGAACTTGTCCTGTTCATTTTAGTGAATAGTTAGCACTTTTAGTGGTTTTGAAGACCTTAAAAATGTGAGCAGCATGTTTACAGTATGTTGTAGACTTCGCTTACTGCAAAGAAAAACTCTTGTCTGCTTGCATGTTTTTTCAGCAGCACATCAGAAGTCTTAAGAGGTAGTAGTTAGTGTGGTTATTTTCCTAGAAAACAATTTGAATAGCTGTAATTCTGGGAATTGTGGCAATAGAGCATCTGGGTATTGGGACCTTTGAGTGTGGTTGGCTGTTTTCCCATTGTCTTCTGCTCTCTGTCAGGTTCCTAACTAAGCGAGAACAGAAGCTGATGCAGCGTCGACAACATGCTGAAGAATTGTTGGAGTGGAAACGTCGCCTGGATGCAGAGGAAGCAGAAATACGGCGAATAGAAAAACAGGCTCTAGCTGCCTGGGACAAAGAGCTGCTCAAAACCAAAATAGCCAAGAAGGATTTGGGGGATCAGAGAACTGAGCCCAAAGGTAATAGGAAGAGGAGGGAAGTGATACAAGTGACAAGAGTAAAGCATAATTTGACACAACAGTTGCTTTGGTTTGCACTTTCTTCTTTATTTGTTGTTTTGGTGGTGATCGTTCTCCAGACGCTCTTAGAATCTCAACTTCTGCATTCTTGGCTACCTTTTGTTGCCTTGTTCTTTTAGCCGTATTTTATACCTTAGTTAAATGTGTATTCCTCCTCTGCTGTATATCTTCTCAAGTGAACAGTGCAGCATAGGCCCATCAGACATTCCTATGTAAATTTAAACTGTATTTCTGTCTTTCAAAACAAAAATCTTTTGCTAATCATCTTCTGAAACTACTCTGTTAAAACCATTTTCCCTTGTAATGCTCCAAGTGTCTATCCTGTTAGTGAAGTTGGCTCTCACCAGGAGCTGCTTTCCCCTTGTCTGTGTTTTCAAAAAATTAAAAGCGTTTTTTTTCTTCCCTCTGTTAATGCAATAATGGTTTGAAATCCACAACTGTGCTAAATGTGTAAGTGATGCTATTGTGAGGAAGAATAACTTCTCAGATGTTGGGAGCTGCAGCTTTTACTGTTCTGTCTTAAGTGGGCCATACTTTCAGCATGAAGCACAGAGAACTGGATTACAGTGGGAGAAAATAATGAAACTTCAGGGATTGTTCCAGAAACAATCAATTTTCCTTTTTTCTCCACTTTGCTGAAAGCAGGCAGCACATCCTTTGAATGTGCAAAGGGAATTCAGAATTATGCCTAATTATACTTGTTACTGAAAACAGTCGTGTGGATTTTAGGCATTGTAAGACATTTTGAAGATGATTTATGCATGATTCAATAAGTTCCAATGAACAAAAATTCAGCATGAATGTTGAATTCTCACCAACAGATGAGAAAATGCACTTGCTTTCTATTAATTGTATCTACCAGTAAGCACTGGAGCACAACCCTGCTTCAGAAGAAGTTCCTCTCCCCAGCCTTTGCTCAAATACTGAATAGTTCTCCATGGCTGCTTCAGTAATGCTGTGACTCCTGCAGAATTTAGTAAACAGGAATATTGAAAACCCAACTTATTATTTTACTTGTTGCCAGTTGAGAGACTCATGATGAAATCATAACATTGAAATGTTTTCTACAACTACTGTAAAGGAAGCAATCAATTCTAAATTCAAGATCTGGCTTGCAGATTATATGCTCCTCCATGACTTCTTCAGACTAATAGTGACTCTTGCTGGTGTATGGTCAACTGGAAGGACAGGTTTCCCTAATAATCTTTTTGGAGTGTGTTGTCTGGAAAATGTTAGAATATCCTTTATTTCAGACATTCAGCAATCGCTAAGAATGTTTGGCAGTGTTAAATCCTAGTTCTCTGATAAACATGCTTGTTCTTGCTAAATATTCCACCCTCAGTGTCTAGGTAAGTGAAATAACACTTATCAATTTGACATGTGTTGGTAGCAGTTACACGCCTTCAGAGATACTACTGTCTGCATATAAAGTAGTAAGTCAGTGCAAATTCTTAGGCACTTTGTTTTCTTCTCTCATTATTTTATCTCAGAAACAGCTAGTGAAGAAGAGTCTCCGGTGCCTTCTTGCTCTCATCTGAACAGTGAAAGCTCTATCCCAGAAGATCTTGGCAGTCTAGCTGCTGAGTCTGTCCCATCAGAGACTATGGGCCATGGACAGCCAGAAAGTCCAGATCAGAGTACAGCTAATGAAGAAATGGTTTATTCTGAAGAGTTCAAGTCTTCTACCTCACCTGGAAAACTTGTGAGTCAGCTTTTTATGCTATATATTTATTTGGTTTTTTCTTACACTTGTAAAAGGCTATCAGAGAAGGAGTAAGTGTAGCCTTCCCAGTTGTCAAAGCAGAGATTAAACTATTCTCTGTGTTTTCAATACCATTTTACATTACTATGAATAGTGTGATAGATATGTTCTTTGAACTCTTGAGGAAAAATGGCTTCAGCACGGACTTTAGATATTTTTAAACTTGTGAGTAGTCTTGCAAAATGTTTTGCATGTGTCACATAGGTATGCAGTACGAAGTGGTGGAATACTGACCCAGTTTACCACTGTGGATTAGCTGTAGGCTAGCTTGTTACCACTTATACCATTGTATAAATTCTTTGAGCCCATGGAAACTATGCTCTGTTTTTCCGCTTTGCTTTATTTGCAAGTGATGTATCCCAAAACATAGCTATAGAAAGCAGAGCTGTAACCTCATGCACAATCCTTTGGGTTTCAAATTATGTCTGCTTGCTAGCTAATGCTGCCTTGTTGTTCTGTTCTGTTCTAACTGCTATTTCTGCTTGGTTGATAATTTTTGTTCAGTTTTATCGTAGTAACTTTGCCCTGTGCTCAGTGTGACAGAAAATACAGTGTCTGCAGGGTGAAGAACTGCTCATCTAGACTTATTACAAATACTTTATTGGAAAGGTTGCTGAGAAGATAGTGAGGTAGAATGTGTAATATGTACCAGAAGTTATGTTCAAGGTGTGTTAAAAGTTTGTGGTATAATGTTGAAGCAGTAAAGCAGCATTTTGGAAGAATATTTGCACTTAGATTTTTTTTTTTTTTTTTTGGCCTGGCCTCAGAACAATAGTGGTGTGTTGTTTTACTGATTTAGAATGTTGTCTTATACCCTTTCATGAAATAGTCCTTTTGATTTCACAGATTTATTTGCTAGGAGTTCTTGTTGCCGTGGTTGTTGGCAAATAAGATTACATATAAACTGTATTGAACACCTGTGAGTCAGAACCATGTCAGTTCACTTAAGTGGTAATAGAGTAGCCTAAGCAAGTTTACTGAAATCTCGTCTTGAAGTAAGCAGTCAGCTATTGCTGCTTTTGGTATATTTGTTCTATTGTCTAGCAAACTAAGATGAAATTCTTCTTAAGATAGCTGGATATCTTAAGAATATCCAGCTTATGAGATGTTCCTTAGTCATGCTGTTCTTTCCTTGTAACTAGCTCCTGATGACAATGATCTCCTGCTTTCAAACTGAGCTTTACAAGCAATTACTTATTTGTCCTTTTCTTCTCCTGTAGTCTCCTCCCAAAAGCAGCATATCTGTATCAAAGCAAGAGTCCAGCAAAGGCAGCCATAGAACTGGAGGACAGCTACGTTCACCTGTGAAGTCTCATCAGATATCTCACAACTGGTCTGATGAATCTTTATCTATGACACAGTCAGGTAAGTGTAATATCTGCTTGGTTTAAATTGTTTTTTTAGAGCTTTTTTGTTTTAATGACTAAACTGGAAATGCAGATGTAGATGTGGGGAGATGGGCAGAAATTCCTGGCAGTTGCCAAGGTTTGAGATTCTGTGACGTGTTTTCCTGCGATGTAATTTGATCACTTCAGCTTAAGAAGATCTTAATGTAAAAAGATCTATATATTACCTCTTCTTTTAGAAAGCAATGTAGATTCTTGCAGACAGATATGAAGAAGATAAGAGTCAATAGTTAAGGTGGTCCTAGGATTTAAAAATACCAAGGTTAGCTGTGCTTTTAACAGGTGACACTGCTCCACCCCTCATGTTGTAAGAAAGAATAAGGTTCAGCAGCATACAAACAGTATCGTCCTCCTGAATACATCCTGGTCCAGAAGCAGTGTAGCTCTGTTATCATGGCAGTATGAGTGAGGACCTGCATTGGCATGAGCAGAATGATTGGATACTTCGGGACATATGTTGGGGTTTTTTTGAAGGAGGGGTGCAGTAAAATAGGATCTAAGATTGCATTTTGAGCTATGAAATACAAGGTCTACTGTATGGACTCTTTATCACAGGTCTTTTATTCAGTATCTGAAGCTGGCTACCAGTAAATGCTGAGGGAGAGAATATTAGAAATGAACTGGTACAGAGCAGTCTTTTCCCTAGTGTGCTCTCGCAGTGTGAGTGTCTTGTGGATTCCAGGACTTCCTGAGACACCATTCAGTGGGTCACCAGCATCAGCTCTGTTAAACTGTGAAGTCTGTTTTGAACCTTCCTGTGCTATTAGTCTCTAAAATGTCTTGTATTCCACACTTACTAGCAAATGAGATAGCATTTTCTTGCTTTTTTTTTAATTCCCTAAATGATCAGTAAGTCTTTAGTGGAAATAGAATTAGGTGGTTCTATTGTATATGCTGGCTGTTGTTTGTGGTAGATGGATAACTTAACTGGTGTGGCATACATATCCAGTCTTTGTGGTGCTTGATGCAGGAAGCTTAATCTTTTATGTTGGGGTTTGGGTTTTTTTTTAATATGTATGTAAGTGCAATAGAAACAGTAATTTTGAGGCAGCTGTTCTCCTGCTGGATAGAGAAATGAATATGTAACACCTAGGTATTTGCACTGAGTAATTTGTATTTGGATTCTGTCTGGAGAGCAGTTTGCAACACACTGAAGCATTCAGCAACTTGATAAAGTTATTTTCAAGTTCTGCCTGAGCAACCACATAAAGAAGCCATTATGAAAAGTAGAGCAGGCAACAGAGATCATGCAAACACTTTATTTCACAGAAGTTCATTTGCAATCTTTGATTTCAAATGCTGAAGAAAGGTATAAGAGGTGAGAAGCCGATCAGGATGGTGCTGGTTTCACAATAAATCGTTCCATTGTAAAGAGACAAATCTTCAAAGCTGCTGAGTAGTAATGAAGTCATTGCTATGTCAATCCGATGCATGCGTAGACAAGATCGTCAGAGATGAAAGCATGTGCAGATCTTTCCCTTATGAGTTGATCAAGAAAAGCTATAATTACATAGTGGTCACTTACTATTCGGGAGGAGTTGTTAATTACAGTGGCATCATAAAGTACTCATGATTAGCAAGTGAGATTCCATTCTTTGTGCTGGGTCGGGTTTGATTTTTTTTTAAAAAAAGTCTCCAAATGATTAACAACAGTTGTTAATGGAAGAAGAATATGGCAGTTTGATTGTATTTATTGGCTGTTGATGATGAAATCCTTCATTATGGTGGTTTGTTGTCTTGAGAAATGAGATTGATTAGCGAAATGTCCATCTGTTCATGCTAGCTGACCAAATAGTACTGGTGACTTACTCTTTAGGATGTTCAGTAAAGTAATTGGCATTTATGAGCATCCAAGCCTTTTGGTCCAGAAGACATTATAGGTAATCTTGAGCATTAGAAAAGCAAACCAGCCGAGATCCTTCTCTTAGGAGCTGCAGCTACTGCTATAGAAGAGGAAGGGGGACATCAGCTGCAGGGAGAAGCTCCAGTAAGACTGTCAGATAAATATTTTGATGAGTGTTTGATACTCAATTATGGTAGCACCAATCTAGGACAGGGATCTTGTTTTGTACTATGTTGGTATACATTTAAAACCAGAGGACATAATCAGGTGGGAGGAAAAGAATAAGTAATGAGGCACTGAGGCAATCTCTTTATAAAGTCTGAGAGGTCTGAGAGACTAAGAGGTTCTTAGAGCAGAAATAATGAAAGCAGAGTTACTGGTAGAATGGGGTTATCATGCAGAGAATGGATCAAAGTATCTGAGGACAGTGTCCCAAGGGAAAAGAGGTAGAAAATCATCAGAAGGACTGGAAGATGAGGTTGCAGGGAGTTCTGGGGATGGAGAGGAATGCAGGAGAATTTATTAAAATTACTAAGGGTAATGATTAAGAAAAAAATTGTTAGGTGGAAAATAACTACAGTTGGTAATGGCGTTGTAGGAGAATCTATAAAATAGAACTTGGAGCAAAGATGTAACAAGTAGCTTTGGATAAGCTACCACTGTATACTGTACTTTGTGTAAGCCATTATTGAGTAGTCCTCAACATTATTTAGTTGTCTAAGCTCAACACTACCCCCATTCACCATGAATACATTGTCATCCTGAGGCCTGACAACAGTGAAAATCTCTACATTCTTCAAATTGACTTTCCTTCCAACTGTTGACCAGTCAGCTCTCCGTTTCATAGGTGTATTTAGTCTAGGTGGCAGAAAATCTAAACAGACCAGAAACATAAAATCTTCTTGGAGTCCACTGTTCCAAGTGAAATTCTCATCAATGAAGTGTACCCTGTAGTGTGAAACTGTATCTTGTGATTGTAAACAAATATTTCAGTACATTTTTGGCATGCATCTTTGAGTTGTCATATTTTTAAATATGTCAGAACAAAATAATTTCTGCAACAGCTGACATGATAAGCAGTTAATGAGTCAGCACAAATACGGGCGGTTGATGTGAACAAGTTTGGTAACAAGTGACTGTATCAGAGCCTTTATCTTCTAAATGTAGTAAAATGCAACACTTTTGTATGTTATATAGTAGCGTTGTGAATCTGAGATCCCACTTTAAGTGTTATCTTATGTTAAGATTAACATGTTGTCATTAAATTCTTTCATATTTTGCTTGGACCGTACTTTGTATTTACTAAGTGACTGTTTATGGCTTTGTGTAAAACTGTTTTGTGAGGTGCAAGCTTACAAAGACTAAAACTAAACTTTTGCAGAAACCACATCTGATCAAAGTGACATTGAAGGACGGATCAGAGCCCTGAAGGATGAACTACGGAAAAGAAAATCTGTGGTTTACCAGCTGAAAAAGGAACAGAAAAAGAGACAAAAGGAGAGACTGAAGGCCCAGGAAGCCAGTTTGATCAAACAACTGGAGGTTAGGAAGAGTTGGAAGAAGGGCGAAGTAAAAGATTGTTAGCCTTGGATAAATTGCTCTAGAATGGATGTTGTTGGCAGAATATTGTGTCAACAACTGTGAAAGACGTTATTATGATAGAAATATGACTGTGTTCTGGCTATTTAACTGTTTTCAATAATGAACCAGAGCCTTGAGACAAAAACGCCGTTCCCTTTTAAAATTTATATCTTGAATGAGTTACTAGCAGCATTTTTGGGGCTTATGTATGTTTATACACATTAGTATCCTAGCTTGGATTAGAGAGTGATGCTTGTGTAATTTGTTTTAGAAAGTGAAGTATTAGCATTTCTAGGATTCGCAACTGTAGAGCTTTAGGGAGTTAAATAGACTGCTTTACAGAGAAACCAAGTGTATCCTTCGCTCACTCAGTCGGTTTTGATTGCTGAGTTGTAGCTGTGGTTTAGTACACTAACAGCCATAACTGTTTTGCATGTGCAGTCGTATGATGAGTTTATCAAGAAGACTGAAGCAGAGCTGAGCCAAGATCTGGAGGCATCGCCAACAGCCAAACCTCAGATTAAAACGCTATCCTCAGCCACTGCTGAAAAACCTAAGATCAAGGCACCACCGCTTCATAGGTAACTGGGATTTTGTCGTCTTTTTGAGATTATTCTGAAACTGTGGTGAATGCTATTTTAGCAGAAACCATGAGTGCAAGGAAAGCTGGTAACTGCTCTTCCTTAAAGCACTGAACAGTGGCAGTGTCCTGTTGACCTATTTGCTGGACTCGTTGGAGCCAAAGCAGATAAGATGTACTGTCCTTGTAGTCGTATGCGTCTCTCACACTTCGGTCCTGCCCAGCCTGTCAGGTCCTATTTTCAAGTTCCTCCTGAACAATAATTTTCAGTTGTGCAAGAATTGTGCCAAATGGTTGTATGGATTACAGACCTGAAGGAATTTTTTCCCATTTTGGTCACTCATTATGCCTGCCACACTGTGTGAGGCAAAGTGTTCATCTTTGCAACTTAAATCTCATTTAGATCTTTGGTTTTAAAAGGTAGAGAATTCAACTGATTTCTGCACTTCCTAATGTATTTTTAAGTGTTTTGGTTTCTCCAGCAGATGGTGCAATTTTAGTGCATGCAAGTAAAAAAGTTAGTTGGTGTTTTGGGTTTTTTTGTCTGCAAAGAAGGCTAAAGTTTGATTAGTCTTTTAAAAAATGACTTTCCAGGACTGGCCAAACTCTCCTCTCTGTCCTCGTTCCTATTTTCTGAGGTCACAGTGCGTTGACAAAGCAAACTGTTTGTTGTCATTGGTGTGGTATTATAATTATAGAAATTTATATTTTCATTTTTATCTATTAAAAGAAAAACACCGAAACAACACACTCTGATGTAACCATGACTAATGCAATTTGATTTTTCAAATTTAGGTCTGAGACAGCTAAAAACTGGAAATCACTGGCTGAATCAGAGCGATCCAGAGCATCTTTGGAATCCATTTCAGAGCATGCAGGTATGTGACTGGAAGAATCTATAGAGCTGAAAATCTTGAAGACTTTGACTGTTTTAAACTTCTTTAATCTTTTTGTTCTTGACTCAAGAAGAGGTTTTAAGAGAACATGCGGACCCTAATGGTCCAGCCATGGTTTTTACTATTTTTATTTAGTGGGCTTCTGCTTTTGCTGTTTCCTGTCTATGCGGTATTTGGTTTTATTCTTGCTGAGGTTTGAGCGAAACCATAATTACGTGACAACCTTTTCCCTTTCTTTTGTTTTGTTCCTTGATCACTTGAGGAGAGTAAGGAAACCAAAGATAATGAGAAATTTAGGAGTAGGGGTTTAGTTTTTTGAGATGCCTTTCAGTGTTTTGCTGTTCATCATCTAATCATTATCTGCCATTTTAATCTTGGTTGTACTTGTGGCTTGCAAACAAAGAACAGAGCCCTTACCTTGGGCTCAGTATTGTGTGGCATTATGAAATACTGATACAAGGAACAGAGTTGGAAAGAAAGCATTAGAACGCTGGAACTGAAAGAATGTTGCTCGTGTTCATAGGACAGCTTGAAATACATGTTTCCAAGGCATCAGTTTGTATCTTCATTTAGCATAGAAACCTTGATGTTAATTTTGTTGCCTATGGTTGCGGTTTTCAATAAAACAGGGCAAACTGTACTATCTCCTGTAATTCACTTTTTATTTCCCTTCAAGATGCTGTGTCATTGAAAACTGAAAAATCTGTGTCTGTGCGCAGCAAGAAGGCGGCTGTGACAGGTGTTCATGCAGAAGAACTTTCTGGCACACCTTCCTCTGTTTTAATGTCACCAAGGAGTTCCGGAGCAGGATCTGGTGATTCCTTAGATAACGTCTCATCATCATCTCTTTTCAAAGACGAGAAACACGTTAGCAGGATATCCCATGGGTCAACGAACAGTGCGGTAAAAGCATCCGGTGATGAGGCTGTCTTCAGTCATAAATCTGAGATACAGGAAGACTTGGAATACATGAAGTCTGAGGAATATAAGACTGAAGGTTCTCATGTTAAGCCTTTAGAGAGTTCTGATGTCCTACTGACATTAGATAAAGAACAGGAGAACTCACTGGACATCCTTGCAGAGGAAGTCCTCTGTTCTGACAACAAACACCCTCAGAAGAAACTCTTTGGTTTGGCTGTGGAAAGTCTTCATGGTACAGAAGAAATCTTGGAACAGAGACTGGCAGATAAAGATGCTGTAACTGGCCCAAGTGTAGAGGAGTCTTCTCGTAAACTGAGCAAATCAACAGAGCAAAAAGGTTATCTGCTTTCAGAACAACTCTCTAGCCCAAAGGAGCCATCATACCTTGAAGATTTTGAAGGATTCTCTTCTAGAAAACAAGCTTCCCTTGAAGAAACACTTCCTGGGGAATGTTACAAAGATGACTTTGAAGCATCTCTTCTCTCTCCTAACGGGGATGCTCAGTCACGGACAGAACAGTCACAGCACACACAGACCAGCAGAAGCAGATCGACGAGCCTTGGCAGTGATGGTGAAATCAGTGAATACCTCAGTGACAGGTCTCTCTCTCTCTCTGGCAGCATGCATTCAGAGAGGTTGTTAGAACTTAAGTCCCCAACAGAACTTATAAAAAATACCGAACGCAGAGATGTGGAGCGAGAAAAGGCCCCTACCGAATCACCGCTCTGGGCCTCTGTTTTGGTCACAGAAGAAATGGATGGTTTGCCGAATTTCAGCGTTGGTGATAGAGTACTTGTGAGTAAAGTCCAGCCTGGAACATTGCGATTCAAAGGTCTGACTAACTTTGCCAAAGGATTTTGGGCTGGTGTGGAGTTGGATAAACCTGAAGGGAACAATAATGGAACTTATGATGGTGTTAAATATTTTGATTGCAAAGAAAAGCATGGTATTTTTGCTCCTCCTCAAAAAATCTCTCACATTACAGAAAGTATTGATAGCCATTTAGACACAAATAAGGATGAGGACTCGTTCTTCGATGATAGACTGGAGAAGCAATGCAAAGCTGAGCAGAAAGACAGAGGAAGTTCCAAACCTGGCAAAGAGCATGAAAGCCAGAGCAGAGATGCAACAGAGAACTATTCCCAAGACAAAGGTCCTGCAGACAGAGCTGTTTCAGAAGCCTCAGCTGAGGAAAGGGTTGATGAGGAATCATCTTCTAAAGCAAACAGCATAAAAGAGATTTCTGTAGCTACTGAATCACTCGACCAAGAACAGTCAGTGGTGGATTATCTGAAACATGCTGTAAAAGAGGAGGCCAGCCTTGCTCCTCTCATTTCTGGTGATGTGGGTGAGATTTCTACTGTTCAGTTGGATGACATCTCAGATTTCCTTTCTGAAAAACTGGAGAGGCAGAAGACACTGGGGGAAGAATGTGCTGAAAAGTTAGATGATCTCTCTCCTGGAGCTGTGGAGAAGCCTGCAACTCCACTCCTGGATTTGCTGACAAAAGAAAAGAACCAGTTAGAAGCCCAGCTTAGGCTACCGCTTAGAGAGGAAGAAAAGTCAAAAGACCAACTGGAAAAGGTCAGCTTGCTGACAGACAGTCTTCTGAGAGATTTTGTGAAAGACACGGTCAATCAGTTACAGCAGATAAAGAAGGTCAGAAATGAGAAAATCCAGCTCAGCAACCAGGAGCTCTGTGATGTGAAGGATGAATCCAGTACCCCATCTCAGCAAGTAGAAAAGCAGGTTCCTGATGGACTAAATAACTTTTTTCTGAGTCCTGATTTGGAAGATGAAAGAGAAGAACTTTCGTCTCCAGACATGTGTCCCAGACCAGTGAGTAACAGACATCTTGCACTGATTGTAAGAGTTGATTGTTCGTTTGACTGATGATGATTAAATCTGAGGAATGCAGTGTGGCACCAGTTTGTTTTCTCCCGAGTTCTGTTGGATGATGTGGAGATTGCCTGTATGTATATGTATTACATGTGTGTCCTTGTGTATCCCAGTTCATGGCTCGTTTTGGTAGCCCTGCAGGCTGAAAGACACATTTTGGCACATGAAAGTGAAAAATACTTAATTTAGGTTGCATTCTGCTTACATGTTCAATTTGTATTTAATCCTTACCCTCCGTTTTTATTCTAAAAATGGCAAAATACAATAGACTGTAAACTTACCTCTTGTCTATTCTTGATGTGAAATAATCATGCTCAAACTTAATTAATTGCTGTGGAGGTCATTAAGGTGTCAGACTGCTCTATCCACTGAAATAATATATCATGAGTAGTGGAAGTTCAAGCTTCCTCGGAACAACCATTAGTGATACAGATACAGGACTTGGCTTTTCTGCTGAAGATCCCAGTAAACCTGTCTGCTTTGCCGTTGATCTCTATATATTATCATCGCAGAAAGCTTCAGCCTGTTTCACCAGTGTGAGCACTGCTCAGTCACTAAAATGGCCATCACCTGCTAAAAGCTTTTAGGCTGTTGATTTAGATCTGAGACTGCTGGTAAGTGAAGTGAAAAGTTGTATGCCACATTAACAGTTTTAAACCACTCAGCCTTTCATAAACAGTTAAATATTAGGACAGACAGTGGGCAGAATGCACAGTCTTTTAAGATCTGTGGGAACCCTCTGAAAGTATTCATCAAGAGTGGTAGAAACCCCACTGATTTGAACCAAAAAACATTTTTTATTTGAATCAAAACATTTGTAATTTTGTTGTGGGCTCTCTATTATTTTTCTGAGTATTTGTGTATATATTGCCAATTACATCACTAGAGCATTTAAGAAAGTAAGCAGAGTTAGACAACAGTGTGACACTGCTTTTATATTTACTCTGTGGCTCTTAATTCACAGGAGAGTCCAGTTTTTGGTGCCAGTGGTCAGGAAGAGCTTGCCAAGAGACTGGCAGAGCTGGAGCTCAATCGAGAGTTCCTGAGTGTGCTGGGAGATGATCAAGACTGGTTTGATGAGGACTATGGCCTGAGTTCCCGTAAGGTCCAGCAGAAGCAAGCTGAGGAGCCAGCAGTGCTGCCCAAGGTAGAACCACAGAAAGTACCAACAAAGCCGTGTGAGGAGCCTTTGGCAGTCCCTCATACTGCAGTAGAGGTGGAAGGTATGGTGCATGCAGCAGCTGAGGAACTCTGGAAACTGAAAGAGCTGGGTCATGATCTTCAAAGTTTCAGCCTTCGTACAGATCTTACTACCCCCAAAGAGCAGGACACAGACTCAATAAACAAGCAGGTTTATAAAAAGGTACAGTCTTTAGGTATTTTGTTCTCGCCCTTTGAATGTTTACCATGAACAACAGAAGCCTTAACTTTTTCTTCTTTCTTTGTTAAGGTGGTATTTGATTTAACAAGAGAGATCTTTGGGGAAATCTTTGCTGAGGATCCTAATCTAAATCAGCCTATTTGGATGAAACCGTGTAGGATCGCATCTGCTTACTTTCGCCGAGTAAAAGATCCAAATGATCTGGGTGAGATCAAGGTAGGAAGAAATCTTTGTCATGCAGGGAAAGCAAGATGAAAAATACTGTACTTGCACTTGCCTGAGTGTTAAAAAAATTGTAACTGGTGTATCCAGCAAGAGAGGGGTTGAGAAGAGGAATGAGATTACAAACCTGAAAGAGAATTTGTCAAAATGGCCCGTTTTTACTCAACAGGTTTGCCTCCCTCTCCTTTTGCCTGATACTGGTTGCTTTCAAACCTTAGTCCTTTGTGCAGAACTGCTAGGGTGACCTTGATCTTATAAAATTGGTATGCTGTTAGACTGCTGCTTTAGCAGATTTCAGTGGAACTCTGTATGGGTGTATTGGCATGGATCTGATGGTAGGGTTGGGCCAAATGGGATGAGCTGGATTTTTTACTCAGACACACCTGTGCCAGCCTCACTGAGGGCAGCAGGAGTTGTCCATAGGGACCCAAAATTTGACTGGCGAGGGTACTGTTGTATTTGGCAAGCTGCAGGAGGTCTCTTGTTATTGGTGGTAGCACTCAAGAAAGGACAAAACCCCACAAAACTAGAACCTGACTGGACCTGGGTTAAACTTGCAGGAAAAAAACTGTTTCCCTGAAAGTGCTCAACAAAGAACCTTCCATACAGCTCGTCAGGGCACAAATGAAGACTTCTACCTGTACTGTTTCTTCTGAAATTGGGGGGGTGGGAGTAGGGGGAGAGCTGGCTGTATTTTGATTAACCTGCTGAAGATACAGCATGTTAGCTGTCTAGAAAAGACAGAAATAGTATCTAGATTACTCTGTTTAGTTGAGAAGACTTTCAAAAGCATGTTGGCAGGGGAGAGCAGGGGCACAGGTCAAGGGCATCAAACTCTCACCCTGCTTTTCTTTAATATTCTCCCATAAAATGAATCGTCATAATCTCCTGTGTACTGTACTGTTTAATTGAAAGTTTCTGTTATCAAGATTGTTACAGCAGTGGGTATAATTTTTTTCCCCTGTTTCTGGATTTGATAATGGTTTTGCCTGTGTAGTGCTGCCTCAAAGACTTTCATTGTAACTTTGTTGCATACATTATCTCTCTCTTAGCTAAACAGAAAGCTGTAATACATTCTATAATGTGGCTTTTTAGGGACGGTACTTTGTGCATACATTTCATTTCTTAGCTCAAATGTGATAAATCTCACTTTTTCTGTTCTGTAGAGCTTCATTGCGGCTGAAGTACTGAAGTTGTTCAGCCTGAGGAAGGAGCCTAATCACAAAACAGACTGGCAGAAGATGATGAAATTTGGGCGGAAGAAACGAGACCGAGTGGATCATATACTGGTCAGTGGATGAAAATAAGCTATCATGTCAGATACTGTCCACCAGACTAAAGCGTGACATACGACTGTATTTTTCAGTATTCGGTCATGATGTTTAAAGGATACAAAGTGTGCATGAGGTCTTGATAGAAGGTGTGTAATTTCAAGAGCACCCTGTTGACAAGAACAGAAGGCCAGTGCCAGTGAAGTAAGGTGCCTTGAGTGAATTCTATGTTCATGCCTCCTGATTGGACTGGAGTATAAATTTGCCCGCTCCCAAAAGTTTAAAACAGGAATTTACAGAAGGAAATATTGAAATATTTGACTGAAAGTAGAGTTAACTTCTTCTTTGGGAAGGAAATATGTTTTTCTTCTTACTTTAATTTAAAAGTTTTTATTTTGAAGTAGTGCTGTTTGATAGGGACAGTGATACAGAGGACTTAATAGACCAGATTTCTAACCAGATCCAACTGAAAGGTTGCAAAAGTTGTTGGGTTAGAACAGCAAATACTTTGAAGAGATGGTATGGGAGGTAATAATCCCTAGTACAAGGTCACCAGTCTGCCAGGGGGTACCCACAGCTAAGTGTTTCCTCAGAGCTAAGCAACGAGCAGGGCTTCTGCTCCTGTAGTACTTGACATGAACTAGTCAATGCAGCTGCCACTGGGGCAGAGACAGATCAGTGTTAAAATTGCATAAGGTAGAGCATGTCTGGCTGTGTACTAGTTTTTGAAAGTTACTTGTTGGCTTGTATTGCAGCATGATTAACATCTTTATTGGCTATAATGATAGTGAAGGTTCTGCTTGGGAATCTGAGGCGTCATTAGCACCGCGCTTCACTTAATTGTACCTGAAATTGATTCCACACACGCGCACATATAAGTAACTTCGAGTCATGGGTCGTGTGGTCTTTTAATTGCCCATCAGTGGAAGGTTTCCAACACAGGCTTTTTCCCAGGGGTTTAATTGTATGTAAATAGAGTATCTATATATAGGACCTGCATATCCTAGTACGCTTGGTTCTGGGATATGGGCTGTTAAAGCATGCTCAAAGAAGTCTTGTGTTTAGATCCCTGAGATAATTAATAGTACAACTATAATGCTTGTGTACGAATTTCCTGATTTCTTTGAACCATACCTGGAAAGAAAGATTCCTGACTGGAAAAAATTGTTCTAGTTGAAGGCATCCAAAGTGCTTTAGGTAGAATAAGTTTGAAGTTCAGCTGATCTGGTCTGCGATTTACATGCAGACCCAGACATCAAAGATTAATGGAGCTCTGACAGGTTCAGCTTAATAAATAATGTGTTTAGTTTTATTTTGTTCTCACAAGAATATGGTAATAAAATTTTAGCTGAAGACTGGGAGTAACTCTGTGAAGGTTACAGCATGTCGTGCTTTAGGAATACAGCAGTCTCAGTGGGATTGCTAACAAATTTATGCTGTAATGTGAGATACTGTCAGAGAAACTTCTAACTGAAAACCTAAGGAGATAGCATTCACCTTCTCTTACGTGGTTTTATTAAAATCTCTATAAAATATGAAGTATCTGGATAGCACTTTCTGTCTTATAGTCAGCCTCCAGCTTATGCGTACAGCCACGAGTTCTGCGATAACACAAATGCAAGGTCATAAGTGGACATACAGGGCTGTGCAAAATCCGCTGCCTATTTGCTGGTAACTCATGGTGTAGCCCTAAACTGAGACATCAGTTTTGGAGTTTTCCAAATTTTATTTAAAGTCTATTCAAGTGGTATACCACAATCGTTTCCTGAAAGGGAAATCAAGACTTTTTTGGTAGGCTTAGGTGCTGTAGAAGTTTCTTTGGAAATTCACAGTTGAAAATGCTGTGCTCAAGTTATTCTGAAGATTTAGCCAATGCACACCTCTTGCAATGTGCAGAGGGTGTCATGTGAGGACATATATGAGTTGATTGATTCTCTCTACATTCTTTTCATGCTTATAAAGACAAAGACTGTTAAAATAAAACATGATCTTTTTAAAGCAGAGGTAAACATCTTAGGCTTCTGTTATTTGCGTTTAAACTTTGAGCACGGGTCCTTCCCAGGTTCTTCGTTTCCCCTTCAAGTAAACTAACCTTCAAATGAAAACCTCCTTCGATATTTTCTGTTGAGACAAATATGTATTTTTAGTGACTTCAGTGGGAGGATTGAACACGTCTGTCTGACCCAGGAGCTAGGCCTGACTAAGGGTGAGAGGGGTTTTGATACAGAGGAAGGGGATTCTGTTGTATGCCGCCTTCTCCAGCATATTGGTAACAACTGTCAAGTAACAGCATCGTCTGCCTGGATGGTCGGGTGGCTCTAAAAGCAGGAGCTGTGGCTGTTTGCTGAATTTCCTTTTATTTCTTCTGAAAGCACAGAAGCAAGTGTCAGGCTATTCTGCCCAGCTTACTCTCTCCCTGATTGTCCCTGGATGTGTCCTTCTGGGTTTATCATATTAACCCAAATTCCCTGTGGTTCTGGTCTCCACCAAAGGTTCAGCCTTGTGAGGAAGGGGCACGGCAGCAGAAGCAGCCTGCGCTGCACTGGTACCCTCTGATGCTGGGTCCTCTGGGTGACTGCAGTCAGCCATCACACCTGCTGGGCATTAAGGGAAGAACAGGATGGATTAGTCCTCCACCACCTTGCTCTGCCTTGATCTTTGCTACTTCCACCACTTAGTGCATCTTTGGTTGCATTTTCACTCTCGTCTGCTCTTTTCCAGCGTTGACACTTAACATAGTTAGCCATGTTTTTCTGCCAGTAATAAACCCCTCACCTTCCTCTTCTCCTTTTTCGCAGCACTGTGAACTTTGATCAGGTATCTCTGTCCTCAGAAAGTGTTTGTAATGGGATTTCGTATGAGAGTTCTCTAGTCTGCTGGATAGTTGCTCCAGTCGTTAACAATTACAGCAAATGTTGGCTTTCAGTAAACAAGTACAGGAGATCCACATTTATGAAAAGCTGCTTTGGTTAAAATCAGGTTAAAGGAATGTTTAGGTGTTTGCTTTCTTCTGCTCGTGTCCCTTTCTGTTGCCACCTTTATCACGTGTGTGATGTCTGTGTTTTGTGGGAGAATCTCAGATGTACACAGAGGCTGAGGTGCTGCATTTCAGTACATCAAAACCTCTTTTTAAACTGCATCAAGAACCCTTGTATCTTCTTATTTGAGTTCAGGTGCTAACAATAGACTGTTTCCACTCCTTTTTTTCCGCTTGGGTCTTCAGCCAAAACTCCCTGTGCTGATCTGTTTGCATGGGGTTAGAACAAACTCTGCCGTTGCTTTCCCTGCCACCCCACCTTCCCTTTTATCCAAAGCTTGAGAAAGCAAAGCTCACATGACTGCCAAACCTATGTGTTTAGTTTTCGCACCTGAGAAGCCTGCCAACAGAGTGCTGAAAACTACTTGATCTTCTGACCTGTTCACTTAACGGCTAGAACATTTCTCTTCATGCAGAAACTGCAACAAAGCAAAGCTCTTCCTATCAAGCTGGCTTATTTGGAAAGCCCACTTCTGTGGCATGCGAGTTCTAAACCCAAGGGGAGTGCAGCAGCAAGAAGAGAATCAAAGCCTGTTTGTATGCACAGTCGTGTGTCTTGAGATTTCCAGGCACTCTGGGAGCAGAGGGCTGTGAGAATGCACCTGCTTGCCTTCTTCCTAGTGGCGTTCTTCCAAGGCACTAGTTTGTATCTAGATTTTTATTCTTTTCAGTCTCCCAAATGATCTAGTGACTCCTTAAATGGAGTTTATTTTGCAGATATTCATGGTTCTGAATGGGAACCTCCAGAAATCGAAACTTGCCCTTTAAAGTTTCCTTCAGGTTATATTATTTGAAGTGTTGGTTTTGGGTACTTATTACACTAATATGACACTTATTAGATGGCCAGCAGGATCATGCTACCTTGTTATTTCCTGATATTTCTTTTGTGTGCGTGCCCCCTTCTTTCTTCCTGTGCTTGGGGGGAAAAAAAAAGGCACACGTACAAAAAAACCCATACCACACAGCCTTCTGCGTTGTGTCACTATGTATCTCTTCCTGTAAGATGGATTACGTTTTCGTTAAAACTGTTGTTCTCCTGACTTTGCCCAAATGCAATTTCTCTCTGGCATAGAGAACTTACTTCCTGGTATCAAATATGTGGAATTTTGTTTTTGTCATGAGGATGCACAGGAACTTAAATGCTGTGCGTGTACTGAAGACAGCGCCAAGCCTGCTTTCATGAAAGTCACAGTAGTCGCTGTCCCTGTTTCAGCAGTTTGTAATAATACAACAAATGGATCAAATCTTTCCCAGACAAAGGAGTCACAACTGCCTTGGCTCAGATGTCTGCAGCTAAGGCTGCAAAGCAGCACGGCGGTTTCCACACGTGTTCTGAATACGCTATAAACAAGACTTGCCTGCAGCTGCAAATTGCACCTTCTCTTAGTTTTCCAAAAGTATGCTCGAGGAAGTCCTCCTAATGCCCAAGGAAATTGTGCACTGTGCCTCTTAGAAAGGGGAATGATACAGGCAAGAGAAAACTAATCACTGATACAGTTTTTCTTTCTTCATTTCTTCTTCTTTCCGTGGCTATTTAACATCAAGTTACCTTCTCCTCTCCTGTTTATTTCCATTTCTTCATCCCATGTGTCTCTTTTTCCTTCTGGAGCACAGTAAAGGAACTGTCCCATCACGTTGTTGCAGGTGAGACAGAATAAACAGCAGCTTTGTGTGGATCTGGATGTTGGGGTTTGTTTAAGCGCCAGTGAGACCAGAACTTTTAACCTGCTTGATCATTTTAGTTACTTGCTTTTCCCCCCTCAGTGTTACGTTCACCAGGTCTGACTTCCCTTCCCAGCAGGGAGGTCGCTGCCGGCCTGGGAAGGTTGGGCAGAAAGTCCTGTCAGTTGGGATTGTGCAGCCACTTGAAGTTACCAGTCTTGGATGTCATCGGTCAAGGTCCCTGGGTGTCCTCTGGCATTTGTCTCCACCTACCTCCTTCATCTCCAGCATCTTCCTCCATTTCCAGGACCTTTCCTCCAGCCAGGATCTTTACCTTCTTCCTTTGAGGCCCCTGGTTTCTTTCCCAGACCACCTCTGCTTTTTGGGAACCTTTCTTTTTGGCACCACCTTTTGTTTTCGTGACCCACATCTCTTGCTTTTCCTCATGTAAATAGTCTGTGATGCAGACACACAACACGTGATCAGCCTCCACATTGGTGCTTCTGTCTTATACCTCTTTATTGATGGGAGGACTTGGGACATGCTGCTATTGTTTAGTCCAGAGTTTATCAGAATTTACAACCAGCGCACACCGGTTGCAGGCAGCAAGCTTCTGCTTGAGAGTTCAGAAGTCTGTTTCAGACGTTCACCCCCATACAAACTTACATCCAATTACCTGCCGCTTGTTAGCATTCGATTTAAGTTATTTTTCACCTATGACACTCACTCAAAGTTTGATTGCCAATATTGTTGCTTCTTCCTTGTTAGTAAGAAGCATAATGAAACCATTAGCACCCTGTCTTTGACAGCTGTATGGGAAACAAGGGCTGTACTGAAGAGGAGTGCTCGCTGTTGTAGTGCAGAGATTTGTAAGCACGTAGTGTGACTCTTCCAGAGCTGTCTGCAGGATGAGATCCCTGCCACTCTCCACAGGCTCGCTTAAAAGAGGGAGAAATGAGCTGTCAGACTGAAACCCCATGTATAACTGAGGCCTTATGAATGGCTGCAAACCCTGAAGCAGTGCGGGTTCCCTGGGGTTCCCACAGCAGTCTGTTCTTGGGCTTCACACTGTGTGGGGTTATTGAATCATCATTATGCTACA